CTCCATAACTCGGTTCCTTTGTTGCAGTGAGTGTCTTCAGCAGCCTCTGTTATTTGCTTCTCCAGCCTGGACCGATCTTCCAGCTGAGTGTTGTGGCAGTGCAGCAGGGGCTGGGGCAGCCCCCGCAGCCGCTGCTGCCGTACAGTGTGTCAGCCTGTGCAGGATTGAAGGAGTGGGGCTCCTCTGAGCTGCCGAGGCTGGTTTGGGATCCAGCAGAGCAGGACATGGTCTAGGATGAACATACCAGGGACCACCGCTGGTGAAGAAAGGTCCCCTTGTCAGCACCACAGAGAGAGAGCTGACCCAAGTAATTGTGGAGGATAGCTGACACTTCCTGTGAAACCTCGTTCCTTTGGGTTCCAGCTGACAGTGTGACAGCCCGAAACATTCAGTGTCGGCCATAAGACGTGAGGTTCGCCATATCCCTGACCAAACCCCATGGATTAGGTAGAGAAAACTTTCACTGTATTAAGTTTTATTTAACGGTTAGTGGAGAGGTTAGTTGTCCAATCATCTATTTTATAAATAGCTATTTTAGGAAAAGCTTCCAGAAACAGATTTCACAGGCTTTCCCAGTTGATTGTAGTTCTTCAGCTGTTGTAAATCACCAGTGCACCACAGAAATAATAATTTACCCTTGCTGAAGATCTCTGCTGGTCTTTTTCCTTGTGAATACTTATGACTGTAATCACTAGAAATGTATCTGCTAACAATTTGCCTTCTCTTTTCATTCATGAAATTTTTACCTTCTCAGGGTTAATTGAATCAGGAAATGTCAATTTCTTTAGATTCAATTTTCCTTATTGATGTGGATTCTGGAGGAATGACTGCTGTGAATACAAAATATGGTTTGACTTGATTTCGGGGAAATATTTAGTGACCAGAAAAAGAGAAGGTTGTTTGAAACAAGCTTTGAATAAATTAAGAGCCCCCCCACAACTAGCACAGCCTTCTTGACTATGCAGAACCCCTAATTAACTATTTATAGAGATGCGCATATTTCCAATCTATTTTAAAACGCTGGAAATGAGAGTGAGCAAACCAACCTACCCACCAGTTTGCAGAGGGCAGGGGCAGTATAATGTCTGCACAGTGTTTCGCTGTGTGGTAATTATGTAGCAGGAACTTAGAAAATGTAGAGATGGAGCCAGGAAAATTCCACTCCCCAAAACCTCCAGCCTGATGCTGAAAGCTGCCACTCTCTTTCCAGCAAGCACAAAAGGCCGCAAACGCAGAGCAGCCGTGGGAGAGGCATCGCTGCCCAACACTGATCGTCCGTAAGTGGATTAGTCACCCAACCTGGGTCCGGTGCCAGAAAAGGAGAGCACCGGCAGTTCCCGTTTGCTTCAGTGACGGCCCATGAGATTTGCTGATAACACAACTTTTATTCTTGCCCCACTGCTGAAAGTCCCTTTAGGCACTTGCACCCGGGTTAAGTTCACCACTTCCTTTGTTCTGTTTCATGGGGGTTTGACACACACTTTTCATTTGTTCTATTTTTCGTTTTTAAAAGATAAAGTGGTCTCAAAGACAGGGTTAGCAAGAAATTTATTTCTCGCTGCTGAATTATTTATTCCTATTTAAGCTCCAGCAAACAGCCCACATTTTAATAGCCCGTTACTGCTTAGAGAGCTGTCAGTGCAAAAGGGGCAATCTTGAAAAATACTGGTTTTAGTGGCTCTGTCAATACTCTCTGAATTACTTTTTCTTCATTTTTATGATCAAGAGCACAGAATATAAGGCCAGAAATGGCCAGAGCTGAACACTTCAGGGTGCTTTAATCTACCAAGACTAACAGATAAATTTGTTTGAGAGCTACAGTGAAGACATTTTGTGATGAGATTAGCTTCCTTATAGAGCTCATGGATTCTGCATCAGTTGGCATCTTCAAATCAAGAGGTCTTGTCTTTCTAGGACAATTCTCCATCTCATCTGCTGGATTTGGGGGGGTTGCAGGAGCAGTGGGTGAAATTTGTTAATGTTACTTAAGTGCTTTGGTAACATAATGGCAATTTTCGGCCTTCTGCAATTCTGACCCAGGATTGATTTTTACCTTCTCTCCATTCACCAAGCCTCCTCAAAACTGGTTTCCATGAAGCATCTGCCATATCCTGCGGACTCAAGAAAAGTCTTTTCCTTTGTTTTTACCCAGTGACTATTCCCACTTGAACAAGCCATGCAGCTTTCTTGCCGTCAAGCCCATGGCTTAAATAAACGTGAGAACAAGAGAGCATCAGCACAATATTTCTGTCAATGATCCTGTGGTTTGGTGGAGATAACAAGTGAGGGAAACTTTAGAACGTCAGTCTGTCTGCATCGTAATACAGCAGCAGTTGGAAGAAATTGTGTTCTGATATGTCTGACGTGCTGTACAGCCCGTTCTTGCTCCCATGTCTGGAGGGCTGTTGCCACCGACATCAGTGTGAGCTGACTGGTGGTTCTCCACGGGCACGGCTTGCGGTATTGCTGAGGCAAAAGGATGCTGAATGCAGCCTTTTTGTTACCCTGTCCAGAAGAGTCACCACCAGGAGAGCCAAGCTTAAGAGCTGTGGAAGGACGGATGTTTTATTTGTAACTTGTTCCCCAGGCCGCTTTCCACGGGATGCACCTGGAGTCTCTGAACGCTGTCGTCCTGCACGATCAGTTCAGCCTCGCCAGGTCACTGCTTTTCGTGGAGAGTATCCCATGGATCTGCTTTTGCTCCAGGCCACTTAGGAGCAGTTCCAGAGGCAGAGAGTTGAGACTGCTTTTCTGGGAACAGGGGCAGAAAATAGCTCAGTGTTAGCATTCCAAACGCAACTATTTAGACCTGGATTATTTATTAATATTTTTCTTTCAGACAGATAACTAGCTGCGTTTTCCTCCTCTCTTTAATTTTGTAACTTCTCCCCACCCAGCTGTGTGCAGTCAGGAGTATCTGTGCAAAGAAAGGCTTATTTACAGTGCTCAGTGTCAGGTGGCTAAATTACCTGCTGCTTCAGAAATGCCTTTGGCCACAATGGGAACCTGGGGGATTTTTTGAACCTGGATGTATGTTTGCAGGGTGGTTTTGCTGGGCAGTTGAATTGGCAGGAGGCAGGGCAGCAGCGAGTGGGAAGTGCTGCAGCCACCTCATTTCACCTGGCTGTCACCGACCTGAAGCAGCCTTGTGTGAGGTGCTGTGCGAAGGGTTGGTCTACGACAGCCCCGTCCAGCCCATGGTGTCCTGACACTCAAATGCAAAACTTTCCCCAAGGACTATGTGAAGCGGTTACGGTGAGATGCTGCTGCAGGGTCTGTAGAGTCCTACAGACACACACTCCTTCAAACTGCAGTTGTGTGGCCCAGGGCAGCCCCAGCTGCTAGACGTTAGCCCCTGGTTGTGGATGTTACAGAGCCGCTCATCTGATGGCTCTCCCATCCCAGCATGGTGAGCTGGGTTCAGGAGGACCAGCTGCTCAAAGTGGTTTTGGTAACCATACTCATCGTTGGAGACCAAACTGGTTTAGATCAAGTTAAGCTCTGGGGCACTGAGGCCACTTCTTGCAGGAAGGAAGGAGCAAGATTCTCTCTTGCTTTGTAAATCACAGCCAGTTTACAAAGTTGTGTAATTCAATTTAAAGAAATTGCAAAACCTGAAACATTGGGACTGCCTTTTACAGAGATTAGCAAGGCAGATGAGGGGACAGAGCTCAGGTAAAACATGGGAGGGAAGTTTCTCAGACTGGAACACGCTCATGACATCCCCTGTGCGATGTCTCGGCTGTGAAGGCTGAGCTCCAAGACTCCACTGAGAGTTCCCCATTAAATGGGGTGTTTGGGCCAGCACAAGCACTGGGGTGGTACTGGAAGTGGGGAGGGCAGGGCAGGATGTTCTAACCTGCAATCAGCCCATTTTCCACCTCACACCGGTCACCTTACAGGCATGATGGCCCTGCTTTTACTAGGCTGTGACTCTGGGCAACTTTTTCCCCTTTGCTTTTCCAGTTGCCTAAAAGGGATGACAAAACATGGAGGGTCTTTTCAGGAAGCGTGTACCATCCTAAAGGGTTTTTCTTAATGCAGTAACTGCCCCCCAGAGAAGCAGGAGACCTCGTGGGTCTGTAATGCCCACCCAAAGGCTGGGTTAGTGCTTCTTACTGCTAGCAAGAGCCCTGCCTCTGGCTGCACATGGGGAGAGAATAAGGCTGGTAACTCAGGAAGGAGACAGTCATAATATCTGCTTGTAATGGGTAAGAAAGAACTGCTTGTTGGGTGGGTATAAAAGAGACCTTTAATTCTAGCCAGGGAAGTGTAATGTGTTAGCCAAGTGCTGGTAGAGAGCGCGGCACCACCGGGTTCTTGTGTGGGGATGCAGGGAGGCTTTTAGGGAGATAAATGCTGTTCTTTACCCTTACAGAGCAGCAAGGTTTATCTTACTGATCAAACTGCGAGGCTGGTCTAAACATCATTTTAAAGAAAACCAAAATTATTTGTATCTGCTGTAACTGGGAATACGGGCAGGGGCGACAGTGGCATTATCTCTGCTTGCTGCTCTCTGCAGCCAGTGCAGCTGGTCTTTCTCTGTGCAGCTCAGACTAAATGTTGATTTTTGCGGAGATAGTGTAACGCTGCTGACATCGACAGAGTTATATTTATGAAAGAGACTCCAAAACCTTTAAAAAAGAGGAGTGAATTTTAACCACTGTGCTTTGGATAGACCCAGTAAGTAGCTATTATCCTAAATAGATCCTTTTAGGCAGGAGGGTGTTGTACTGCCTGGATTCACCAAGGAGCAGTGTCCCATTTCTCTGCAGTTTAAAAATACTAGGAGTCAGCAAATCAGTAATTGTAGCTTCAAACTAATATCACTTTCTTTTTCTTTTTTTTTTCTGCATAGCATTCTGGCACTCTATAAAAAGATCTGGCACACTACATAGGATTAGGCAGCTTTGAAGCGGTGGAGTCATCTGGGTGTGAAACTTTGATTTCCTGTGTATTGAACTGTTATTTCTATCTTTCTTTTTCAGAAAACCCCCACAGCTCATGCCATGAAGGAGGAGAACTTTCTTCGTCGAAGGTTCTCCCTCTGTCCGGCTTCATCCACCCCGCAGAAGGTCGATCCTCGGAAGCTGACGCGCAATCTCTTCTTCGGGGCCGACAATGACATCTATCCTCTCAGCCCAGGTTGGTTTCTGGGGTGCCAGTGCAGGACGTAGCGCATCTCCAGTGCCTGAGTGTGGGTAGATGTTTTAGCGTGGAACCAGGAAACAAAGAGAAACAAGTTAGTGTGAAAGAGGGAGAAGTTGTTTCACCGTGGATATTACTGGATCCGAAACAGCGCTGCTTTCCTTCTGCTGTTGTCTTTCATTGCCATGGCATTAAGTGGGAACGGAGGGCATCAGAGTTGGGGTTTGTAACCGTTTGAACGCTGCATTGCCGCGGATTTCAAAAATGACTTAATATTTTTGGGCACTTCCACTCGTGTTTCGTTCTGAGCACTGGACTCATTTAACATTTACTGGCCCCATTTGAAGATGTTTAATGGCTGCTCTCCCTGTTCAGATTTAAAGCCCAGGATAAATATTACAAGAGCAGACTTTCTGCAGTTAATGTTCTGTAAATATCTACAAACACCACAAGTACCAGGAATCTTGACAAGCTGCAGTGAATGGCAGGCTGGCTTTAAGTGTTCTCTTTACATCTTCTTTGCTTTGAATTTCCTAACACCCTTTTGGAAGGAAGCAGAGCTCAATTTATTGTTTCAGAGTTTGTTGCTCACAATAAACATTCAAGTCTTTCCTTGACTGCAGTCTGCAAATGATGCTTCCGTTCCGGTCTGTAAACAAGTGCTTCAGGGAACAGTCACAAGTTTGTGGAGCTGTCATTTGCAGCTGCCGTGTCAGTGCTAAGTAATCAAACCTCACAGCACCGCAGTGAGCTCTCAAAACACCGGTATCTAGAGAAAGAACATAGCATCTGTCAAAAGGTTTCGATGTTCTTATAAATGTAACACGCGACGGACTCCCTGGGCTCTGCGCACATAGAGCAAAGCCAGGTCTGGGTTTCCTGAGCTAATTGTCTTTAAGTGATACCTGCAAAGTGATTTTGCAGGTAGTTCTGTTTGTGGGTGTCTGTTTCAAGGCAATAGGGAGCCTATTTTCGGCAGGGCTGACTAATCCTGTCTGTCACGGAGGTCTCTGGAAGCTTCATCAACTTTTTGGTAATCAAATTGAAAACAACTTGAAGTGGGACACCTAAAATCTCATACATTTCAGACCTGTAGGAACTTCTGAAGAGCAAGCTGCCTGTACAGCCCATACAAATCTGCAGTAAATAGCAGGTTTATTTCTGCTGTCCTTATGAGCTGAAAGGCTGATTTTTCAGGCTTTTGTCACTTCCCCTTGCTTGGAGGAGATGGAGATCCATAGCTTAGAGTCTGCCCATTCTTCAGTTGTTAGCAGCATTTTCAGTGCTAAAAAAGTTACAGACTTCCTCACAGAGGTGTTTCAGTGCTGTAATCTTTGAGAAACTGGGGAAAGTTGAGGCTTTCAGCATGAAGAAGGTAGCTTGGAAGAGTTTGTCTCTTCCTCCGTTTCCCCCATCACCTTGTTTCTCCTTGATCCCTGCTGGCAGCCAGACCAAAGAGCCTTTGCTGGGCTCAGCAGAACAAGCCACGCTGGAGCTTTTGTTCTGCTGCGCAGTTCTCCCGAGTAACCTCCGCCACTGGCGTCGGCGAGGGCAGCAGCCCTCTGTGTTGCAAAGGAAGAGCATAGGCCAAAGAGTTTGTAAAGGAGAGACTTCCCTTTTAACCAGACAGGAGTTGCTGCCTTCAGCCAGGGGATTTCTTACAGAGTCTGGGTTTTTGTCTACCCTTCCTACTTTTTTAACTCATTTCTTTCCTCGTCCCCACAGAGCTGCCTTGTCTCTTTTTTTCCCTTCCATTTCCCATAAGAAGTAACTGCCGTTCTTCGTGCTCAGTTGCTATTTCCCTTGGTGGACTCTCCTTTCACCCCTTTGCTGCTGTTTCTGCCTCGTTTTCCTCTGAGCCTCGTGTGTGTCCCCACACCTTCTCCCATCCCTCTGAAGGAAGCTGCTCTCACCATAGATAAGCCTCAGGTCTACATCCGTAAGCAGTGTCAAATATTTCTCTGTCCCTTGTTTTTCTCTGTTGTTTCACGTGAACTCTCTGTTCCTGAGGTTTTCCAGTGGTCTGTGTTTTGGTGCCTGACCCCAGCAGGTTTTCTTTACCGGGGCACTGGGCTGATCGTGTTGGGTGGGTGCCATGGGCAGCAAAGCCCAGTGATGTCCTGCCAGGAATTGGGTTCGTTGTGAGGTGGCTGGAGCTACAGGTTGCACAGCACCAACACCTAGGATTAGTCCTCCAACAGCAAAGGTGTGTGAGTAAATAATTCGGTGAGAAGGGAATTACAGGCTTTGCACATCAGGTAAGCTACTCTATGGAGATTGAGTTCAGCAAAAGGATTTTTTTTCTTTAAAGGAAATGCATGGGAAGTGCAAAGGGCAGTGCCTGAAATAACATGTCACAGTTTTTGCCTCTTGCACACAAAAAACCCTGATGGTTCTGGTAACTCAAAGTTTGAGGAGAACGTTTTTATAGAAAGTTAGAGACATTAATTTGTGTTCCTTGCTCATGTTTGTCTTTCACTTAGCAATAAGGAGAGAGAATCTTTCTTTTCTCTTTCAGAGGGCAGAAAATCTATTGGGGGAGTAGCTAAAAGATATTTTAGAGAATGTCTCCTTTTGACTCGGCTGTGAGATCATACAGTGCTTTTAAACAAAAATTTAGATTGGCTTATCTGCATCTGAAGAGATGCAATTTCATTAATATGGTAATTTTACTGTGATAGATACACAGAACTGACTTTCAGTCTGATGTACACATTGGGCCATGTGGCTGATATTTACAGCAGTAACAAGTTTTATTTTTGACAGTTTTGACACCCTTCAGAGCCTGTATTTCCTCTTGTAATTATCCAGATACTTTATCAGAAAGCCTATAAAATGATAGTTCATGCTGTGTGGAGCTAATAATTAATTCCTCAATAACCCAGTAATTTTGCTTCCCATTGCCTTTGATCATTCATACTTTCTACATCATTGTTTGTAAAGGGGAAAGGCAAGTGCACGTGTAGGATTGATGCCAGGCAGAAAACCAAAAAAAAAAAAAAAAGGGGGGGGGGGGGGAAGGAATAGTTACTGTTCTGGAAAGGAACTAATTTTTTTTCCTGTGCATGACCGTAATGGAATAAAAGAAGGTATCAGTTATTCTACTCTGTAACCTCGGCAGATTTCCTCACAATGTGGTGAAGCCTGTTTCCTTAAGCATCGCTGATGCTCTTGCCAACATCTTTTTTATTATCTGATGCAAAAGTTTTGGGCTGCTTTGCAGAAGACCCTTCTTTGCATGCCCTGCTAGTAGCCAGCACTTTAAGTAAGAAGGGATTGGTCAGCTCTGTTTCTGTTGTGGACATGATGTTTTCTTGATCAGGGAGATAAGAACTTCAGCTTCTATAGCCAGTTAATATTTAGCTTCTTTTATGTTTTTATATGGTTTCCTATTTATTTTCTTGAGACAGCTGCATCTGTTGTGCTCTGGATGGGACTGTTGCTTCTGGGCTTTCTGTGCACTGAACTATGTGTGTGGGTTTTGAGAAACTTGCACATTATTTCAGTGAAGTTTGCTTTCCAAGCAAGGGCTGGCTCTCTCTCCTTCTCCACTCCTGCAGCAAGTCTGCTTGAGACAGACAGCAAAGATGGCTCACCTCTGAAAAACAGCCTTTCCTTTACCAGTGCCAGTAGCCTGAACGAGTTTGGCAAAAGCTGCTCCGTAAACATGTCTTATGAATCCTTGTGAATTAGATGTTAAGAGCAAACAGTTGCATGTTCCCATTTTTTCATAATACAATAACCTCAGGAACAGCGAAAATCTCATTGTTCAGGTGAAAACCCTTTTAACTGTATTACTGAGAAAAGGCAGAAATCTCTCATGTCCAGGCTTTTTATACAGATACCAACTTGGAGTTAAGCTTTCTTTTAGAAGTGAGACATAGTAAAGAATGAATGTGAGTTCTGTTATGCTGATAGACACCATTCCCTGGGAGGAGGCAGCAGCTGATTCCCGTTAACTTTACTTGAACTTGTAGCCCATATGGTACTTTCTCATAGGCGTGCAGAAAAAAACTCTTCCTGGAAAACAAGTGCAACAGCTACCTGGCTTTGTGAGATTATCCCAACCTCCTCTGCCTCTCTCAGGGAGGGTGGGGACTACAGAGAGAACACGATTAGAGAAAGAAAAAGTACAGAGATAAAAGTCCTAATCCCTACACAGCCGTGCTTATGGCCATCCCACTCGTCATGGCAGCACAAGGGCACTGACAAATAGCCGGCCGCTTGGAATTCTCTGCTGCCTGTGGATGTTAGGTTTGCCAGTGCGTTGTTTAGAAGGGGAGGAGTGAGAGTTAAGAAACTTGAGTTAGGATAGAGGTTCCCTGTTGTGCACCGCCTTCCTGTGTGACTGCCTCGGTTCTTCCTCTGCTTCGGTTCCCCACGGGAGCGACGCGTGTGCTGTCCCGCTGCTCTCAGGCTTGGAAGAGTTCACTTTCTGCGTCAGCGCGGCTGCACACACGTGGCACAACGCAGTGCTGTGCCATGGGGCGGGAAACCTGTCTGAGCCCCCCTGTAGCCACCATGTGGAAAGTTGAACACATTTTAGGGACAGTTGTGCCACAAAGTCTTGTCTTAAGTTTCCGAGTTGATACACCAAACTGCCCGTTAAGCCTGTAAAAAGGGCTTGGGTTTTGTCCTGTTTCTTTGCCAGTGAAACTCTGTAGCAGAGCTGCAGTTCTGGTCGTAAGGAACTTCTGCTGATTTCGGGAGAATCAGGACTTTCCCGTGCTGGTTTTGGATTTGGTAATGTTTCCAAGACCGGCCCACACAATGTTTAAAAACATTTTTAACAGTTCCCGTATTTGCAGTGTGCTACAAATGGGTGGTGTTTCACTCTCTCATTGGATCTTAACTGCATCCAGTGTTCTGAAGCTCTCATTGCTAACGGTTTTAAGAAGAAAACTACATTGCAGTTGGATAACAATGACTGTCTTGGCACTAAAAGACTAGTCTCATCAGATGCTACTTTTTGACTTTTTTTTAATAGAAGCACAATGTTTCCTCTTACTGCAAGGACATGATTACAGTTGGCAAAAAGAGGAGAATTTATCGTTGCATTTTCTTGTTTAGACTAGGAATGCCCTCATACTAGTACACGCCCTCACACTGGAATATAATGTGTATAATGTATTGCAAGTTTAGTATATTTGGATAGTGGAAATATATCTTGACAATAACTGGAAAATGTCTAAGTGTTCACAAATGCTACTTAATTGAAAACATTTCTTGTTTTTACAAATAACTTGATCAGATCTTATGCAGGTTTGTTTTTATTTTGTTTTATCGGTTATGTCTAGATGCTGTTCTGTCTTCTGTAAGTTTTTTATGATCGTGATTATTATTTGTCAAACAAAGCGTGCTATCAAGTGCGGCTTTGTATGGTTGCCAGATACTGACCAAGGAGGATGATGTATTGAATAGCTGCTTATTAACTGAATTCCATTTATTATTTGCATTGAATGAGGCACGGCGGGTGTAAGAAAAGAACAGACTGTGGTAATGTAATTAAAGACTGCATCATAATGCAGACACAGAAGGGAGCTGCTTAAGGATCCATAAGCAACCTTTTTTCTATTTTGGTTTTGTTTCCAGCCTTCATATGCTGGGCTTTGCAACCACCGTGTTGGTTTACCACAGTGTTTTGAGACCTAAATTTTAAGCAGTATTTGTTGCATAGGCCAAGCGTGTGGATCCAAGCTGTTTCAACCTCTGAAGGATCCATCTCTGTGATCCCAGTGTGCCTGCTCCTGCTCGGGACAGCTTGTCTTGCTTACTGTTAGCAGTGGCCCTTCTAAGACCATGAGGAGCCATGGCTTTGCAAAGAATTTCTCTGTTTCTGATTCACTTTAATTTGTTGCAGGAAAAGACGTGGAAGGAAATAGCCCATCGGCACTGAAGGAAGAGATACCACAGACTCCAAACTCCATTAATAAGGTACTGTGGGATAAGGATCCATCCCTAGTCTTGCTTTTCTTTCTTCTCAAGCTGTCATTAATTATTCTCTTTTTTTAAAAAAGAAAAAGTTATTGAGAAAGCCTCTCCCTTTGTTTCTGCAGGAAATGGTGTGCATGTTTTGAGAGAAAGAAAATTAGTGGTTTTGCATGGCTGGGATGACAAAGACCACACTTTGCTCTGAATTGGTAGCACCTACTGCAGAAGAACCCTGTTTATTTTGGCCTCGTTTGACAGCGTAGTTAGATATGAACAATTACGGTTGGAAGGTTGTTTTTGTCAGCAGAGGTGTCTCTTGCTGTTTCTGGTCAGCAAGACAAGAGAAAGCTGTAATATTTAGTGTGGTACATAGTGTCTGAAACGGTGAGTTTGAGATCCTGGAAGCGAGCTCTGGAAATTGGTTTAAAAGGAGAGGAATGCAAAATAACCAACATTTCCTGAACCAAACACTTCCATCCAGCCTGTTCATGGAGAGATAAAACTAGATCTAAAGAATTTGGATCTGGGTTTTCAAAACCTGACTCTATATCTAGAGTTATTGCGTGCTGGGGTTTGATTTCCTGCAGAGGTGGAATCAACCTTATAAATTAGACCTGGCTTTGAGATTCAAGTACAGGCTTTTTTTGGTTGCAGCTCCCTAACGTATTTCTGGAGTGTAGCTAGAGATAGAAGCAAGGCCTGTTAATAAATTATTAACTAAATTATTCAACTCTTCATCTATAGAATACAAATGACACCAGCTGAGATGAAAATATAACATGAAGGAAGCAGCTGCAGATAAGTGTTTTCTTAGAATGCATGAGGCTCTGCGTCTTCAAACACATTTGGCTGAGCTTGCCTGGAGCCTGTGGGTTGTTCTGCCAGGATGCCCTGGCAGAGGTCAGCACGGGGAGATGGCGATGAGAAGAGCTCTGTGAGTATGCATCAAGGGCTCGTGTAGATGTCCTGTGCCGTTGCTGGAACCTGGCAAGCTGCAAACCGACCTTGGTTTTGCTTTTTCAGGCGGGTTCCTCGTGGAAACCCAGCCTCCCGCTTACTCTGGCAGTGGAGAAGCCCAAGGACCAGCTAACTGCATCCAGGGCTCTGTTTTAAAGTTGGATGTTTTGCACACCTTGGAAGTAGTGGTGTTAAGTTCCCAATGACTTAGGAATATAAAGAAAGAAGGACTTTTTGTGGACAGGACAACTTGGAGCACTGAAATGCTCTCTGAAAGGGAGTTTGATTTTTGAGATGCAGGATGAACGCAAGAGTAGAAATGTGTGGGTGAGAGATACCTGGATGAGAGCATGGCTCACCTGTGCTTTCCCAGTCTCAGAGCCTGCCTTGCTATTTAGCCTCCTACAGTTTCTGAAGGCAGAAGCACCCTTGGAAGATTTGGGTGCCCACTTAGATTTCTGCCATGCTTTCTGTGCGCCTGGGAGGTGGTGGTGAGTCTTGTTGACAGTGTCAAGAGCAATTGATAAGGAGAGAGGAGGGGAGAGGAGAGGAGAGGAAAGGGCATATATGAGTATGTGTATGTATAAATTAAAAAGTGCAGAGAAAGAGATTTCTTGTTCTTGTTAGCAGATGAGAAAAGAAGAGAAGAGGAGAGGAGAGGAGAGGAGAGGAGAGGAGAGGAGAGGAGAGGAGAGGAGAAAATGCAGAGTGCAAAACAACTGTATCAGATTTGTGATTCAAGGCAGATGGGGATCTGAACCTGGACACGAGCTGTTTTCACCAACCCAAGACTTCAGTTTTACAACGGTCAAAATTGCTCTGAAACACCAAAGGACCAACAGCAGTTATGAGGGCCCCAAACCTCCAAACTTCAGTTTGCCTGCTTGTTTGCAGGCAATTGCTTGGTCACCGAGTGGGCCGGAGCTGGGTTTTTCTCTCCTGCCTGAATGTTCTATTTAGACATAGGATGTTCGATTGTAGATTTTCTGCCTCACTGGACCTCTGCTGTAGCTCCTGTCATTCTCACTTCAGTCTGCCTCTCCTTGCTGTGCTGTACACTACTTTGTTCTTCTCCAGCCACATAACTTTTCTTCTGTCTTGCTTTTCAGTGTCAGTGATGGTAGGGAGTGTCCCTACTGGGACACTTAAAAATTTAGGCAAAGTGATAGTCGGTTTGCTTAATATTTCATTTTTCACGTCCACTCAGCTCTGAGGCTGAAGGAAACCTTACTGTCTGTTGTTCAGAACTCTAAGTAGGGATCTGTCACAGTATTTCAGTTTAAAAATAAGTAGTGATTCCACCTGCTTCAACCAAAGGAAAAAATGTGTCCTAATTGGATCATGTTTCGATTCCTGATAGCAGGGAGGAAATAATTTTTAGAAGCCAAACCGTGGGGTGTCCTGATTTAATTAATGGATTCAAAAGTAAATGTTCTAGGTAACAGATCTGTGCTGTGAATACTTACCCTTCTCTTGGCACAGTGATTTTCCAGCAAATCTTGTTGGCAATCAGTGTACCTTCAGCAGCACTGCTTTGACGTACCGTGGCACTTTTCACCCAGCAATGAGAAAGAAAGGAAAGCCGGTCGAGTGGTTCGATTCCTGCACTGGGGCTTAGGGGACCTTGAGTTCCCAGCTCTGACTTGGAATCCCTGCATTTCCCCAGGCAGATTAATTGTGTTTCTATTTCACATCTTCATCGGTGTGGTGGAAACAGTTCTACATTTCCTCCACTCGAGCCATATCCACGCTGCATGGTGGAGGAGTCTGCAGGTTTCCCACGTTAGCAGACACCAAGCAGAAAATCATATAAAAACCCTCTAAACGTCTGTGAAATTATGAGCTGTGAAGCTGTTTAACTGCTGTCCTGTGCTCATCGATGGACTGTCAGGCTATGTCTGCGGTGTGGACACGTCCCAACTGTCCTGTCTATACAGACAGTAAAATATTTGATGCTGGAATGTTTGCTTTCAGTGAGTTTGTGCAGTTCTAAGCAATATGTATTTCTGATTGCGGTTATGGCTTCTCACCTCAAATTTTTACCTATTCTAAACTTTGCAGAACATTCTTCCTGTGAAAAGCTCGCTTAAATGATCAGATAGAAATCCCACAAGGTCTATAACTTTATTTACTATAATCTGATGCAATGGAGCGAGGCATTGCACTAAACAGTAGTGTAACTTGGTATTTGGAGTTGCTTGTGTAGCTGAATTTCACCAGTGATTTTCCCCAGGTATTGCTGTCATGTCAGGTATTTATTTGTACAGGCTTCCCAATTTGTGCTAATCATTGTGCTGTATCAGTGTTGTAAACATAGTTACTGTGTCTTTGTAAGATTTTTGAAATAAGGGAGATAATAGTTTGGGGTTTTTAGACTAGAAAGTTTTAGGTGACGATTGTTCACCTTGCTGTAAAGCAGCATATTAATTGAGGGTAATCTGTCCTTATGCAAAGCTTGTTTGTCAGTAAAGAATCACTTCACTGGCTCTACTGCACTTTGGATGAGCTGATAATTCATAACAAAATAAAAACGTTTTTTCAAAGAACTGCTTATAGTAAATGGAAAGCAAAGTTGTTTAAATGTGGTTGAGATATCTGTGAGTATTCACATCAGTAACAAGAAGCCCTTCACTTCTAATGTTAAACCCAGCTTTTCCATAGTGTTTGTAGTACTTTGGGAACTTTCGTTTCTTTTATTTCTGCAGTGATACAGATCTGTGACAATTACATGTGGAGAAATTACATGTGATACAGATCTGTGGCAATTACATGTGAGCAAGGACGTGTCTCCCATGTGGTGACTATTTTTGTTTTCGTGAAACAGAACTTAGGACTCCAGCTACTTTTGTTACAACTTGGAATTCCCATCTGATTTTGTCTTTCTCTCACTTGGATGCAAAGAAGAAAAAGGAGCGATTTGTAAGCTGTCACTGCTGTTAACGTGCACACCACAGCTCGAGAATGACTTTATTTAAATGTTTCTGATTTGGAGTAATTCTGTCTGTTTGTCTCATTACACATTTTTTATGTTCATCCTGTGCAGCAAGGGATGCACTAAACAACAGGATATTCCTCTTGCTGTTACCCAAGTCACGGCACGCTGGCGGTCTGGCACACCCCACAGGAGAGTCCATCACAGACTGTTTTGCTGTGAATTATTTGGTTCCCCTTGGAAATGAAGTCACCAGAAAGACACGGAATCAGAATAGCGCTATTGTGAGGACTCTGTGTGCTCTCTTACAAAGCCGAGGAGCAGAAGTATAAGGCTCCTGTGATAATGGCTGACGATCAGCAGTGGCTCTCCAGAGCTGCGTGACTGAGATGAAAGGGAGCAGAAACTTCACTGGGATAAGAAGTGTGTCTCTGAGTACAGTACAGCACGTCGTCAGCCGGCAAGGTCATCACCCAATCCTTGGAAAGGACGGATCTGGTTAAAGAACTAAAGAGGGACAACAGTTCCCTACCTCGCAAGTGCTGCTGAATGCCCTCCTAAAAGTTTCTGTTAGATTAATAATCTTGCCTCCTTATAATGGAAAACATGCACTGTTTGAAGGCAGGACCTTTAAACTGAGAAATACTTTTCATGCTATAGACCTGGAGATCACCTGCAAACAAACTGCTGTTTAGGATCTGTGATGATGCATCCGCGTAGGCATAACAAGAATGGAAGTCAGTGGGAAGAAGCAGTCAGTTTCCCTGATGCTGGGGAACAGCATCAAGTTTCCAAAACCAGAAGACACATCTGAAAGCTTGTCCATGGATCCTCGTGAAAACCATGTCTTGATTTTAGTTGTATTTTCTCACTTCTTCATAAAGCTTGGTCATTTTACAACCATCTTGGGGAACTGTGCTATTTGTCATGCAGCTGGCACAGCATGGTTTTGGGGACATGGCCGCATGCTTACTTATCTTCCCATGCTTAGAAATTCTTATGCAGGCAGTGAGGGACTTAAGTTGCTGCTTCTTTCTCATCTGTCTTCGTTTGCACCATCATCCATGTGCCCGTGTTTCCCTTTACGGGCAAGGTTAGCAAACCCAGCATGCCCGAATGTAGCTTGGACATGGGGAGGCAGTGCCTGAAGGGAGCAGCAGCGCAGTGGTTCAGGAACCTACCGGAGCAGCCTCCCAGGCTGTTAATGCAGCTGCTCTGACCAAGTGCAAAACCACTTTGTAATGGTTTTGGACAAGTGTCACTGTCTTCGTTGAGCTCTGAAAGGCTGTGGTGGTGTAAGGGGAGATACCCCTTCATCTGCTGTTGGGTGCTGTGGCTCTGTAACATGCACAGCAGCATCAGCTGGCGTTGGGGGTGCGGTGTCCCGGGCTGTAGAGCTACGAGTTGGCGCTCCTGAAGAGGCAGAGTCAATGTCTGTCTGTGTTTGAAGTCTTGTGGTTGTTTAACTCTATTTTTAGCATGACCCAGGGAGACTCCGAGGAGGAGGCAGGTGTGGCTCATGGAGCAGTCAGAGCACCTCTGTCTGTGCTAATGCCGGTTCCGCACAAGCAGCAGGTTTAGGGCTCAGGTTTGCAGTGGTTGTTGGAAGCCTTCCTGAATTCATCCTCAAGTAAATTTCCTGGTGCCAGGTGACCTTAGGGGCCAAAATTTTATTCTTTATGTAAGTGCTAAGATGAGACTGTCTAGGCAGCAAGTGACTGTAGCTTGTTTTAATGAGTTAAGAAAAAGCATTCATTAAATCCTGATGCTTTGCAGACACCTGAGCAGGACTTCCTAGAATCTCAGGGACATCTCTGCTTTTTCTGCTTCTCACGCTGGCTCAGGAGGCACAGTATGCAGTGTTTCTCTCTGCATGCGATCTCTCAAGCCAGAGGGAATGAAATTACCAATAAAGAATTGGCTCATCATTGTATCTCAAGGGCAGGACATTCTCCCTGTGAAGCAGGAAAAAAGGGGGAGAGTTCTTCTGACAAGTTTCAGAGGGCACGAGTCTCAAATCATAAAAGCATAATCTCTTAATAATTCTGCAGGATTCTCACTCAGAGACGTTTAAGCACTTGGAAATGTTTCGTCATAAAGAAAAGCTTATAGTGTATCTCCCAAATGCCTACCACTGCCCTTGGAAATGTGACAAAGACCCTTTGGGCACAATTGTCTGCTCAGACATCACATCTGTGCAGCAGTCTCCACCATAAATCTTGTGTTTTGACAGTGAAGTCCCATGCACAGAAATACAAAATGTGCATTAGAGACTGCATTGCAGGTAGAGGAGGTAGGGTTAGCTTTCTGTTAAAACAAAAATGACAAATAGTGAAGAGTTTGCAGGAGTCAGGGAACTGGCATATTCTTTGAGTGGATCCAGTGCCAAGTTGTCTTGTAAACTGGGCAATCAGATCAGGGACTTCACTGGTTGTTATGAGCCATCACAGAGTTTTCATTTCTTTATACATTCTTACGTATCACATGTAGTAATTTTTTTAGTGAACTACTACTATAAGAGTACATGAGAACAAGCAATAGGTCATGAATTGCACTTTCTGCCCCTAATTTCTAATCCTGCATCATTGACAAAGAGTTTTACTCAGCTCAGCCTGCACCCTTAGCTCCCTTTTCTTTCCTGCCACAGTCTCCCAAACATAGCTGAAGGCCTGTTTGCTGTGACCTGGAGATGCTTCTTACATGTTTTTTATCTAACTCAGGTGAAAAGGACTGATCCGGCTGCCATTAAAAATTTCTCTGCTTGCACACTCAGCATGGTTTGTGACCATAGTAGCCAGAGAAGTTTCTGTGTCACTGGGAGGGAAAAAAAAAGTGGGTCTCTCAAAACTGAAGGCGCTGTAAAATGATTACATGAACTTGTGACATAAAGGAGAGTCTGAGAGCCCAGCGGGTTTATGTCGCATCACAGCAGTGAATTTATAAATGGGAACTACATTTTTTCCTTAGTACAGCTTATTTTTGTGTCATACTCATTAAATCAAGGTAGCCAAGGGCTGAGGTTTTTTATAAAACTATCATACGTGAGTGGGAGAGACAGTGCCTGACCCCAAACGATCACAGTCTGAACGCGTCAGACACATGAAAGGTTGAAAGGAAAAGAGGTACAGAAAGAGAAAGTAACTTCCACAAGGTCACATGAAAAGTAACAAGAGTCCAGACTGCATCATAGTTTTCACACACTAACCCTCCCCAGGTTTTGGACAATTTGCCAACATTACCTGTTCAAGTCATGCTCCTCCTCGTGAGTTGTGCTCCAGGGAGCCGTACTCTCTAAGCACCTGTTATTTGAGAGCAGTAGTATTGTGACTATGTCTAACAAAAATAAAGGATTTTTTCAGCCCATCAGCACAATCCTGTGATCAGTCTGTAGCCTCTGAAAGTTAATTTAAACAGCACTAACACTATCAAACATAATTTGAGGTGACTGTATTTTGTGCCTTGTTTCACAAGGCCAAGATGACAATGATTTCCTCTGTTATCTGTAACACGATTAGGTCATTTCTTGCCGGCTCATATTCTCGACATTTTAGCTGGGGCAACAATCATTGCCAATATCAAGTCTAGTTCTGAAAGTTCTATACCAGCTTCCCCATAATTTTTATTCCACTATTTGAAACGCTTTCAGATCTGAGAAGAGATGAGCAGTTTCCAAAGTTGGAAATAAGAATAGGGAATTTGTTTTGGTTTGGTTTGGGAATTTTTAATTTTAACAAAATTAGTGTCTGCATGGGAGAAATAAAAAGAAAATTTGATGGGGAACTAGTTATGAGTATAAAAAGAAAGTTGACTGCGCTGCAAATAGGGATTTTCTGCACCTGCCTGGTGTTCTGCTGCTGAAGTCTGCCATCAGTTCTGTCATGCATTCCTGGAAGATATAAACGACTCTTCGCTGGAGCATGGCTTGAATGTCTTAATGTTAAAATATTCCTATTCCCTCTCTCCATCTTTTTTCAGATCGAATATAAGCTTTGCAATGGGTCTGACAAAGAATGTGTTTCTCCCACTGCCAAATTCACAAAGAAGGAAACACTGAAGGTATGTGCAAAGCAGCCAAGTCGGCATCAGCTGACTTTCGTTCACAAAACAAGTAGTACCTTCCAAACAAACCATTGGGAACTACTCTAAGTCCTTTCCCGAGATCCTGAAAAGTCCCCGACTCTTTCAGGAATCGTCATAAACCAAGGGCATTTACAGACATTATCCACAGGATTAGATTGCGTACTGCAGACAGAACAGCTCAGTGTAATTACCTGACTCTGTTCGTAAGTTCCAGAGCCATTAGGCCCCTCAAGAGGATTGTAATCCGTCATCGGTCTTGTTAGGAGGAGTAGGCCTGGGCAATCTGAGCAAATCATTCCTGGAACACTTGCTTGTCTACCACACCAAAAGTATAAATAATTTGGTTTGGATGCAATTAGATTTCATCTCTTTATTTGAGAGGTTGGGAGGACTGGGTCTTCAGCCTCTTTCTGTTCCCCCAACCAAAAGTCAAATTAGATTATGTTTGATGAAACTTCAGGAGCAAAGAAAAAGCCTCCTGTCTCATTATGGTTTTGTTTTTCCCTTGTGCTCATTTCTGGGGAGCCTGTGCTGGGTCACGTTCTAGCTGTGCTATACATAGGTGTCCTGAATGCGTTATGTTCTTTCCTCCCCAAAAGAGGCCGCGATTACAGCTGCTATATTTTCTCTCTTCTCAACCAGGTGCAAAAAAAAAATTACCGACAGGAGAAGAAAAGAGCTACCAAACAACTCTTCAGTGCTCTGAAGGATCCCAGTGTAGTGATCACAGCAGACTGGCTGAAGGTAATTAGTAGAGACCATTGCTTCTGAGGCTGCAGCACAAAAACCCCTGAGAGGTAGTTGACGTGGCTGAGACTGGTGCACTGGCACTTTATTGAGTGAAAGAAGAATGAAAAATTTGAGTTGAAGTTGCTATAGAGCTGCACTCAAATAACTGCTATAAAAGCAGAGTTAGAAGGAGTATTTGCTTTGCATCTTAACCTAACTCAGTCCATCTATTGCATGACCTTAAGTAGCAGCAAGGTCTCAAAAAGTGCCTAGTACAAAAGGAAATGATGATGTTTCTTTCTTTCTTGCCCTCTGAAAGAGTCTGCCGACCTCTTCCCATAGATATGTTTTTGTACCAAAGAGGGAATAGACAGAGTAACAGCCTGGAAATGGCAGATACAGCTTGTGCTATTGACAGTTGGATTTTGTGTTGTCACAGCACAAGAACGAAACATACTGGACCTAATGACAACTGTAATTTCCCCTTGTGCAAAGAGTCAACTAGTGGCAGCTTCTCACTGAAGTCATGAAACTTTGTATGTGGCAAAATAAATTTGGGTTGACATTGAGAGGTGTTACCTTTGAGCAGTGTTTTTCTCCTCATTTGGGGCCATTTGATCTTCTTGGCTAGCAGTGAATTGGTTGCCCCTTTTATAACGGCAAAACTGAATTTCCGGACATTGCTAAACACACAGCTCTTTAGGGGGAAAAAAAAAGGTTGCTGAGAGATTTCATGAAACAAGACAATTGCATTTGGCCAGTGTGAAAAACCTCCAACGTTGTTCTATGGTGAGTGTTAGAGGCCAGTGAAGTGAGACATGTATGGTTTACTAGAGAAATGGGATTGGCAACAAAATGCTTCCATAGTGTTTAGTGTTAATGATAGATAAATACTGAGATTTTTTTAGATACAAAGTACCTTTGCATGTTTGCTGTGTTGTGGTTCAGCAACAAATGATGCTGGGCGACTAAAACAACACTGACGTAAGACTTGAGGTTTGGCCTATGTACGCTAAGGACAAGAAGACCGTAGGCAAAACGTAACCTTACTGAGAGACTTCCTCATTCTTAAAGCTGTTATCTTTAATATACACTATCAGATTTAATGTCTTCTGCACAAGAGAGAGCATGCATTGAGCTTGACAGAGAAGTAAACCAGCTGGAGAAGATACTTTTAAAAATGGGGTATTTGACAAAACCCATTAATAGCTCTGCTCTGCAGAACACTATTAAAATGACTTTTAAGTCGAGTTAGACTAGCTATAACATTTTTCTATGCAATGTTCTAATTGGCGTGTCCTCCATGATTATTAACAAATCAATCTCACATGGGCCAGTAGAGCTGGTTGCCTAAAATGTTAAGAAGCTGCTAACACTAAGCCAGTAATAAAATTATGAAGACTGGATTCTGATCGCCAGATTGACAACTTCTGGGGTTTTGCTGTCAGTTCCCTCCTAAAGAAGCGTATCATAGTGTGGCCTTGGGAGAAACACATGCTGAAAATACTGCGTAAGGACTGAATAAATGCTGTTTTTCTGTTAAGGAGCAACAAAAATGCAACTTCGTATTCTCTCCCTTACAGATTCGTGGGACTCTGAAGAGCTGGACCAAGCTGTGGTGTGTTCTGAAACCAGGAGTGCTGCTGATATATAAGACACCAAAGATTGGACAGTGGGTTGGGACGATCTTGCTCCATTCGTGTGAGCTGATCGAGAGACCCTCTAAAAAGGATGGCTTCTGTTTTAAACTTTTTCACCCTCTGGATCAATCAATCTGGGCTGTGAAGGTAACAATCCCGATGAGTCAACCAACCTCTTCTTGGTCACTAAAGTGTCTCAGCACTAGTATTATCTAGCACTGATATTATCAAGACTCGCTGTTATTCAGTTGCTGTTAGTGATGGTGGATTGAGTACCTGAAAAGATTAAAGATACCGAAGTTTGGTCTCAATATTACATCAAAGGAACATGTTGCTTTGTGATCAGTTACAGAGATATGTCACTGTTGCTGTATTGATGCATGCATGGACTAAAGAAAGGAGAAACTGCAGGAAAAAAGATCAATACCTACAAGCTATGTCAGGCCGTGGCCTGCGTCTTTAAAAAGAGATGAGGAATAGACCAAGTTAACTGACTTCCCCAAAACAAGGATAGACAAAGCCCCAAAGGCTTTGCACAACAGTGGAAGAGGGCTGGCAAAGCAACAAAAAACAGATTAATGATTTGACTTCCTTTTTTCCAATGCCTCTGAGATTTGGGTTTGTTTATGATGGACTTAGTACTCAGTGGTCTACTCAAGACTTGACCATTCCACAAAAGTGTGACTTTGGATAGGTTGCCTTAGTTTTCCTTTCTTTGAAATGGAAATAGCAAGATTTTCTCCACTTCACTTTGAGTTGTTCTTCAGTCTGTTACAGACTGAGACCGTCTCTTCCTGTACATGCAGCAGCTGCTGCGGTGACCTCTGGATCGCCCTGTAACGCAAACGATTAATAGTTTCACAGAATCACAGAATGTTCGGGGTTGGAAGGGACCTTGAAAGATCATCTAGTCCAACCCCGCTGCCAGAGCAGGATCACCTCGAATAGGTCACACCGAAACTCGTCCAGGCGGGTTTTGAATGTCAGTTTCTCACACTTCTTAAAAGAACTCCCTGAAAATTTCAGAGCTGCATTTCTTTTTCTTCTTTCCTTTAAGAGTAGGCAAAAAGAAAAGAATTACTTAATGCCTATGAGCAAAGAAGACTCCAGTGCCTCCTGAGAGACGCTAAGAGCAACATCTATTGGATACCCTGAAGACAAAACTTAAATGTTCTTGAACTCTTTGTTACCCCATTAAAAACAGTGACTCAACAGAGTTATTGCAGACATAAATTCTCTAGGAGATAACAGCAGTGTAAGCAAGGCGCTGCAAGGTGACCAGCAGAGTAAATCTACCTGGAAAGACTCGTGTGAGAGCGGTGAAGACGTTTGCCGTTGGCATCAGAAGATCTGACAAAATGGAGGGGAAGCCCTGTGGTAGCAGGTGAAGCAGGCTCACTCCTGCTCATCCCTCCAGTTAATTGAACAGTTTTAAGCACAGCTATACAAGCATTGTAAGAAGTCTTGTAAGTTTTAATAATGTAGGAGGAGAGAATTAAAATGAATCTCAACAACCAGGTTGAAGAGCTGCTGTTTTCTGATGGTAGCTCAGCTCTGATCTGTGCCTAGATGCGTTGCTTGAATTCAGATCTCAAAGGTTTCATTACAACCTTACTTCCTATTAATTTTTGAGAGTTTTGATGCTTTTTTAATTCAGAGCATGCACCCAAAAATGTTGTCGATCACTTGCTGTCTATCAACAAAAAAATTCCTTGTGAGTTGCCAGGTCAACTGGATTCTTCTGAAAAGCACAGTCAGAAGAGGTAGTGAAAAATAATCTAAAGTGCAGTCAAGTACTGAAAAGTAGTGTTGCTGACATCAGAAGTGTTGTGCTAGAATGCCCTTCCCTTGATATGAATCATCCAAAAGAAAGAGGAGTTTTTATCGATATGTATATGTGTTTGTGCATGTATGTATATATCTAATTCTTGTGTGTCTTGAGAAAATTTATGACAGAAATAGGAATTAGTATATTAAATGTGGAGAGGCTATATCTCTGAAAATGTTTTTTGTGAGGAAGCCCCAAGAGATATGAATTTTAAAGTCAAAGTAATATTTTAAGTCACTTGGGACAGATCTTTAGCAAGCTACATTTCGGCTGTGTAGTAGGATATTTCTTGAAATCTGAGTGCAGCCTGGATTGTTATGTGTGACAGATGCTTTCAACCACAAGGTGAACACCAAAAAAAACACATCAAGAAGAAATCCACCAGTGAACTGCTTGATGTCAAAGAAGCTGTCTGCACTCTGACAACAGTTTAAGGCTGAAACTGCTAAAAATAATGCTTCATTTTATGTCATTTCATGGCCTTTTTTTAAAGCAACTGTAGAATTGACTGATCTAAATTGGTTATGTAGAGCTCTGCAAAATAAAAGCCTATTTCCTATGAAACATAGATTAGCCCAAGCATAAGCAAAAAACCCAAGTTACTGTCCATCACAATAGAAGTAAGATCTGGCTGAATAACTTGCACTTTTGGCTAAAATGGCTTGTGAAATATTCAAGGATATTCCTGACTAGAGTTGACAATCCAGCCTGGACTAACATCAGTGGGCTTGCAGCTAACTCAGGGTAATTAGTGAGCTCCTTGGTATGTGTGGCCGTGGCTGCTCAGCAGATGTTTGGATTTAAGTGCCCTGGAACAGATGTCTGGCTCAAGCACTGCCCTAGGTGTTTATAGCTGGGCTAGTCAATTAAATTTGATTTGCAGGCATTCAACTTCAGTTAGAGCAGGATGAAATTTTGGGGCACCTTTCACGTGGTAGGTAAGATGTAAGATGCACCAGGGAACTGTTTTTCCTATAAAGCTCTCTGGTGTCCCAGAGTGATATATCTTGGCAGCATTTCAGTGAGGGGAGAGAGTCCTTTATTCTACACTGCTTCCCTGACTCTTGGAGAGTTTCAGCCTGAAACGCCTTCGCGGTGTAAATGGATTAGACCTTTTACCTATTTGCTCTTCCCAGGCCTTTGTAAACCCAAGGCCAAAACTGCCAAGGCCTCAAAATCAGCAGAGCAAATAGCGGTAAGAAAAGCTTCCCCCCCACACTCCAAACACTGCTGCAGGGGCACTTTGTCCATCGTGTGAAGGCAGCAGGATCCCACGCTGCTTCAGGGGAGAGACTTTTTGCTGCGATGCGTGAGGAACGCCAACCTAGTAATTACTGTGAGGATGTCGGTGTCTGTCCTCTACCATCGCAGAGGGACAGTGTAGGGCTGTCAGCTGGCAGGGTTTGCCCAGCTGTCCCAAAAAAACATCCTGGAATAGTTCGTATTTCCCTTTGATCTTGCTCAGAAGCTGGCTGAACAGCATGGTATGGGAAGGGTTTTATTTACTGCGTTTATTTAGAGTGCTACATCAATTAGGGTCAGACCCACGGAATCTAGGAATGTATATAATTTGAATTTCATCGGATTTATAGAACTTTGAGTTATTCCTTTAAAAAAAAGGTTTTAGTATTGGGCTCATGCTGCTGCTTTTACAGTTGTTGGTTCTACTCCGTAACATGACACAGTCAGTTTCATTTTCAGTTACTCACAGTACTGTTAATGAAATGCATTTTTCCCCTTTTTCTAGGCTTTGCTTTATGACTGTCCAAGACTAGATGTCTTGTCATACTGTCTAAACCAGTGTGAGTCTGCTCCGATCAACCCCTGTCTGATAATGCCTTTTGAGTCTCAAATCAAATGTAAAGACAGGACTGATCTGAAGATGATCCTTCCGTAGTTGTACTGTCTAGAGGCTGCAGTGAGCTCTGTGCCCAGTGTAGCAGAGAGAACGTTCACTTTTAGTGAGAGATGGTCATTGTCTTGGAGGCGTGATGCTCAAAGGCTGGGAGACAGAAAGCAGCGTTAGGTCTGCTGTGCAGATACAGAACCTCATTTACTCTGTGGAGATGTGGACTTTATTTTTTTGGCCTATTTTTTCTTCTTCTCCTCTTCTGTGTGTAGGAAACAGCCCCCTCCATGTATGAGCATGCCTTACTATTGAGTACATTTTCTTGACAGAGTGACCTTGGTGCTCCTTGCATTTATCCACATGCCTACACGTCTGTTCAAACCTTGTGTTATCCCCTCCTTCCCTTCTCCCTCTTTGGTTTTTTTTTTTAGTAACAGTTCACTGGATCTGTACTGTTTGGTTGTGGGAGTTTTCCTCCCAACAGAGCAAATACCAACATCTGCACTGAAAACACAAGTAATCAGCAGTTCTGAAGTACCTTGCTCAGCTACAAGCTGAAAGGAGAAATGCCATCAGGAGCTGCACAAAGACAACTTGTAGCACATATTTGAATCCTTTTGTCCCCAGCGACAGGAATGAGATTCTTCTATTCCTGAAGATTTAAGTAGAGTAGATTTTGGGCTGAGCGTAGGTCAGACCAAGCCCCATTTACGTCAGAGCTCGTTACTGCTTTGGAGCTGCTGCAGCAATATTGTAATTACTAACGAGTCCCTCTAAATTACTCCATCTGCTCCTTCTTTCCCGTCACAGGCATACACACTCTGCCCAGGAAGGGCAGGAAGATGTTGAACAGTCCCTTGTATCTTCTGTGCCTTACGTCTTCTTGTCTGTGTGCCTTTCCAGGGCCCAAAGGGAGAAAATGTTGGTTCAATCACTCAGCCTCTTCCCAGCAGCTACTTGATTTTCAGAGCAGCCTCTGAATCTGATGGTAAGTTTTGATCTTCATTTGCTTTCTCCAGATTGCATACTCTATGTTAGTTAAGAAAATGGGCTGACATGAACAAAAATTGGTACATAAAGGAAAAGACAGCGTCTCATCCAGATTGAAATGCAGGTTGTTAGCAACTGTCAGAATAAGTAGTTCTGGAAGAAGGACCCAGGCTCATAGCTGGGCAAAATACACTGAAGTCAGTATATACTAAAAGATGAAAGGACTTGATTCCTAACTGGGACGAGGAAGGGGCTTAACTGTTACCTCAGGTCAGCAGAAACTTGGGTGAGTTATCTGCCTACGTCTTACACTAGGCAAGGATCTGCTAGAGGAAAATAACAGTAATATTGGAGAACAGTTGATAGATCTCTCCCAGCCCTCAGAATTTTCCTGTAAACTTGCTGTACCATAGTTTACAGTATAGCAGACCAGGAGGTGTTTCCACTTGCAAGATGGAATTCACAAAATTATGGAAGGTGAATTTAGGTCAATATATGACAGGCATGCCAGCTTGCTATGTGAAAATCGCTATAAATTACTTTAGCAGACCTAAAATATCAGTGATTTATAAGTAGATAAGAAGATTATAAACATGTTTTCATTCCACTTGACCTTCAGACTACTACTGTAAATTTTTTTTTTGCCATAGCAAATTATCCCAGGCTGTTCATTTTATGGATATTTTTCACCTACCCCACCAAGGGTGCTCATGTAGCCCAGGTGCTCCTTTGGGTCTCATCCAGAGTAACTTTAAGGGCACAAGGTTTTTTTATGGAGCACAGTGGGCTCTAAAGGCTGCAAATGAGACAAGCCAAATGCACCTTTGACATGTCACTTAGAATAGGAGGAATCATAGAATCACAGAATGATTTGGGTTGGAAGGGACCTCAAAGATCATCTAGTTTCAACCCCCTGCCATGGCAGGAACATCTCCCACTAGATCAAGTTGCTCAATGTTCCATCCAGCCTGGCCTTGAGCACTTTGAGGGATGGAGCATCCACAGCCTCTCTGGGCAACCTGTGCCAGTGCTTCACCACGCTCAAGGTAAAGGACTTCTTCCTTAGAGCTAGCCTAAAAGGAAGCTTTCTTTCGTGACGGGCTTAGTGTGCTGTTCTTCCTACTGCTGTGCAAAGAGTGCTGTGCATAGTGAGGGACACCAACTCGACACTGAAAGCTGCTTGCAGGTACCAGTGTAGTGAAATGATATGCAAATCAGTGGAACCTGTCCAGAGCTGTATAGAAGCGTACCTATTTCTTTGGATACTTATGGAACAGTACAGCTTTTTTGTGTAAAGGAATACAGGATTTCAACCTGGCTCCACAGATCATCTGTCTAGAAAGGGACAGATTCATACAATAGTCTCTTGGGGAAAGAAAATGCTGTTGGGGTAAAGCTGCTAAACGGCAGGCATTTCAAACCCTGGTTATACAGCCAGCCTGCAGAACAGATGTATGGAACAGTCCCACAGAGTTCTTACGCGACCAAATAGCTTCAACAACTGTCTGTCAATCCAGATTTTTAAAGTATTATGTCCTTAGCGATCCATGTAACCTGTCTTTCCATTAACTTAATTAGAAAATGCACAAAGGGATGGGTGTGGTCATTGTATGTGTTCAGGACAAATTGCTCTCTTAGAGTACTTTATTCCTGGCATTTCAGATATCATATAAATGAAAACTTTCATTCTGGTGGAACCCTAATGATTAAACCTTAAAGCCAGCCTGGTGAGGAGACCTATGGCTGAACTTCTCTCTCTTCACAACGACTGCCATAGGCTAGTTATATGGAGTAGAATAGCTGTGGATTTGTTCTAACTAACCTGACCCGTAAGGGCTCCCAAGCTAGCAATAGCTCCCAAGAGGTCGTAAGAGGTAAGACTTTTCTAGCTGTCTGGGTCATACACCACATGCTGAAAATGCACAAAAGGGACCATATCTGGCACATGAGAATTTTCAAAATTTAAATGCCAGTGGGCAGCTTTCTGCCCAGTAAATTATTACGTGTCCCTGGTATCATAAGAGCTTAAAATAGTGAGTTACTGCAATGTACTTTTAAAGCCAAGATATTGGCAACGATTCTTGGAATCATGCAGAGGACAGGCAGATCAAAGCAGAATTACCTTAGGATTTAGTGTGATTTTCCTTTGGTGCTTCTCTACAGTTAGGTCTTCAGGTTAGAAGGAAAGCTAATGAGATCAAGGGAAGGAGGGTGTACCTGAGTTTGTTTCTTTTTTTTATTGCACTGGACAAACATAGAGGATGCAGTTATGGTCAAGAGAGACAGGAGATTAAGGTAAAATGAGCTAAGCTAGCTGACACAGACAGGGCAGGTGGATCCTCTTCCCATGCATGATCTTAACGTGTATTTGCAGTACGTTCACGTCTCCTCCATAGATGCAATATTGTGTGAATCTAGAGCATCTCTCTGGGGGTGTCCTGAGCATGTTCTTAACACAGTCTCCCATGTTAGTAGTGGAAAACGAACCACAGAGCATTTGGCAAACTCAATAGTAATTCATGGAAGCCTCTGACTTGCAGCATATGTTAGATGTGCAGTTCTGCTATCCAGGCACCTACATCATGATCGGCAGCTACGTGGCCTACTTTTTCTCTCAGCATTTCAGAATCCCTTTTCTCCCCTCTGCCGCGCCATCTGTGACAGACTGTTGGTAGGATTTAAGGTCCTGACTTCTGGACAGCCTGCAGAACTACCACCAACCTACAGTGGATTTCACAGTCACAGACCAAAGCAGCAGCCTGCTTTGTGATGTGTTCTAAAGACATCTGGAAGGTCGTGTCACCCTACAGGCTAGGCTTTACAAGCACAAGGGTCTGTCTTTCTTACCAGTTTCAGAAAGGAAAATCCCTTTTTCCCAACCAGTGACTGTGTGTATGAATTTTAGATTTATGCTGATGAGTAGTGTAGAATTAGTAGTCTAAACCTGTCCCAGCCTTCCTGCCCAGACCAGAGACTGCCTCCGAGATCGCCAAACTGGTGCATCAGACCTCCTAAGCATTTTGAGTCACCTGCTTGAACCTCATCATGCAAATCTCCACCTTACCACAGGTGCTGCTACTAAAGGTGTTACAAGGGGAATTGGAAGTGGCAGATTACCAAAGGTCGAAGGCTTAACCGTGTAACTGTAAACCACACTTACTTTTTGTTCCTTATGTCTGTCCTGTCCTTCAGGTGTGCTTTCAGTAGTCTCTGTTGCCTGACGTGGGTGGAGTTGTGTGGAAATCCTGATGGTCTGGCTTACAGCGGTGTTGTTTCTTTGCTAGGCATCTGGCCCTTCCTGTCCAAATCAATGGGGAGAAAATTAGATTATTGAAATAAAGGTCATACACAGAAGCAGTGAACCAAATTCACAATGAAATGTATCGCTGGAACCTGGCAGTACTGGAAAACATACAAGTTACCTTCTTAGCTTTATGTCTGCCCTTCATATACCTTAGACCTATCACAGCAGTTTAAAATCCAGGCATTTGCTACCAGACTTCATTTAGCTTGGTGCATAAATTGCACCTGCAGCTAACTGAGAGATCGCATCCTTGCATCTTGACAGCCAAAGTGTAAGAAATCAGGCGTGGAGGCGCCCAAGTGGTACAGCAAAATAAGCAGTCAGCTGAATACGATGACCTTAATGTTCACTGACTGAACCAAATCAGCCTCTTCCTCATCATTCGGGATTTATGTGCACTTGAGCAAGAATTCATCGTTTCCAGGTGACAGCCTACTTCAGGTTGATTTTTAAAAGCATCTATCTTGTAAGCGTGAGGCACAGGGCCAAAAGCTGGATGGCTTTAATAATTCAAGAAGAATAATATTCCCTTAGTGATGCCTCTCTGGAGGAATGTACAGTTACTAGGTGTGAAGCTTCCGAAGTCTTAATTGGCAAGAGCTTCATCCCAGCCATTCTGTAGTTACAGGAATGCAGTGGGAAAAAAGTATAGTCTGAGACTGAGTTTGGTGTGCAACGATGTGATTCCATCTTGAGTGGGTTTTTGTTATTGATGAGTGCTGAGAGGACATTGGCTGGCTCCTCTGTGATCAGCTGTTGCAAAATGTGACAGATAGACTTGGCATGTCAGATCATGAGTTATTCTAGGTAAATGATGGTGACTGCAAAGAATTTCAAAGCTGAGTAGCTTAGTGTTTTCAATACAGCCTTTTGAGTTTTTTCTGTGAGATATTGTTGTAATTTTAGGTCTGCTCAAAGTCTAGAACAGACTCAAGTTGTTCCTTGAACTGAGCCTGGGTTGGCAATGTAAGCAACTTCCTGTTGTTTGGGGTTTTTTTCCAAGGAGGAGAAGAAATGGGTTTTGACACGTGGTTTTAGTGGTTCCTTTTGTCTGTGAAAGAAAGAGCTGGTGTGAGCGCATGCCTGCCCTTGTTCAGCCTTGCAGCCTCCAGGTTTCGGGGTGATGCCAGCGTCGCCCTGCAGACCTGGGAAGTGCCCTACAGGGAGCCGTAGTGATTCACATTTGCACACCTCTGCTGCAGGAGTCAGCCCAAAGAGCACAAGGTGCTTTTCCAGCCTGCTGAGCCAAAAGGCCCAGAGAAAGCACTACAAAAGGTTTCAAAACATACGTGGTATGTGTGTTCAGCTTTGTTTTTGCAAAGTCAAGGCAACACACATCCTTTATTAGGTGTTTTTTTACCCCAACCTTTCAAGAGGGAAGGAATTTTGGAACCCTGTTGTGTAACCGATTTTTCAAAGAGTTTATTTTTGCAAATTATCATTGGTGACTGTCATCATTTTACTGTAAACACATAGAATGGAGAAAAAGGGTTACAGGGTTATTCAAGGGGACTCCTTTGTTCTTTTTTTTTTTTTTTGCTGTGAGCTCAGCTGTGTGATGTGCAGATGTGTTCCTTTGACATCCCACTTTGCTGGGACACCTGTCCCATGTCAGATGCTGTGATCATCATTTGCTGAAGTGGTGTAG